TATATTATTAATATTACGTGTGTATATATATATATAACCAGTTGGGTGATTATGATATTCATTTACTAAATTGATTTTTTACATTTGTTACCTGGAAGTTTTGTTTTAATAATTTACCATTTTACAAACTAGATATTAACAGATTGTTTTACGACAGCACAAAGGAGAAATGGTAGCTCCTCCACTCTTCCCCAACTGCAGATATGCACAAACTCCTCACTCACAGCCCTAACCAACTGACCAGCTAACTGGGTAATATGAGCAAGCTAATTAGAAACATGGAATAATTTAAGTATAAAAGATCTCCAGATTCCATTGGGTCCAATCTGCTTCTGAAAGCAGGACTAGCCTTGATAACAAATCCAACTCTAAAGTTGGATCAGGTTGTTCATAACTCATCAAGCTTTGAGCACCTCCAAGAGTGGAGACTGCATGTCCTCTCTGGGCAAATTATTCTCTGTCTGATCACCCTCACTGTGAATCTTTCCCTCCAAAAATCAAACTGGAATTCCCCCTCTCTTGCATCTTTTGCTCAGTGTTCCTCATTCTTCACTGTGCATCTCCAAGAAATGTGTGTCTCTGTCTTCTATACACCCTCCATTGCTGACTTGAAGACAGTGATAAGAATCCTCCTCAGCCTTGTCTCTTGAAGACTGAACAAACTCATTCTCTCCTCGGCCCTTGCCATAAAAGATTAGGAGATTTCACCTGAACTGACAAGCAGTAAAACAGGGCCTGATCCAACAAATCTTCAAACTAATGTTAAATGACAGCTCTACCTAGTACTTGCTTAAAAGTATTCTCAAGCTGTGTTATTTAAAATTCAATTTTCAATGGTCAACTACTGTGGAAGTTTGTTTTTCCATACCGTTGGATAGTTTGAGCAATCTGTTATTCATTCCTCCATCTCCATCCACAACATAGATATCTCCAGTTTCCTCGACAAAGATCTCTGCTGGTTGGTCAAATTGTAGGGGAATCAAACTTGAACCAGCATTACCTGGCGTGCCCAAGATCTGCATAAGTTTACCTGAAGGGCTATACTGTTTCACAGTGTGCCCATATTCCCCTGAATTAAGAAAAAAAAAGTGCAAAACAATCTTAAATAAAAATGTAAGTATTACAACTGATTACAAAGATTAAAAAATCTACTGATACTCCCAAGTGATATTAATAAATCAAACAGACAAAATTCTAGTGAGAATATGACCGTGGGTTAGTAAATCCATAGGCTACAATATTCATCTGTTGTATTAGGGCTGCCAAACCTAGGACAGAAGATAAGTCTAGCCAGAAGATTTTTTTCGCCCTGATACTTCTCCTGAGGGGGGAAAAGAAAATCACCAAAAAACCAAAAATACAAAACAAACCTCCCTTGCTTAGTAAATTCAGAAGCTACAAGCAGACACACAGCACAACTTACAAACCTTCAGAGTATTTTTTGCAGCACCTGATAAGTTTGTTCATGGCAAGAAAAGCACAAATCTGTCTCAGAATTGTTTGACGGACTTAAATAAATGAGTTGTTTAAAGTAATATCTGCAATATTAGCATTTTCTTCCCCACCTAATACTTCCCATATCACCACCATACATACCTGTTCCAACATCTGTGATCCATACTGAACTATCTGTTGCGGTGTTCAATACAAAGATACCATGAGGCATTTCAACTGTATTATTCCAGGAGTAAAGAAAATAGCCTTCCTCTGAGAATACAAGTACCTTTGGTACATTATCTCCCCTCTGAAAAGGCAAAAAAAGGTCCATTAAGTAAACATGTTAAGTAAATAATCATATTCCTCTGTGTAAGGTTTTTGCAACATCACATGAATCATGAGTCTCCTGAGACTGTCTGCTAGATCTCACTTTTTCCAGCTAGAAGAGAGAGAGAAAGGTCTAAATTTAGCATGCAAAACCTTCCACTCATTTTAGACTTTCAACTTAAATCACATAGAGTCCAATTTTCAGAGCAGCCAAGCTCCTGCAGCTATCTTGGTCTTCATTTTCAATTACCTTTTTATGTTTTTGCTGAAAAACATGCCAAGCATAACACAGGCATGAAAAACTGTAACTGTACTTATGAGCTGCATGGCACTCAAGTACTCACACTGTGCTTTATAATTAAATCCTACCACTTTCCATGGGGAGAATGTGTGACCTAGAGATACCAATACGTGGAATTTGGTAAAGCAAATAACTGAACTCCAGCTACGGTAACTGGCTGAAAGAGCAGCATGTTTTTGATTTCATGGGACAAAGGCTGAAAGAAGGGGAAGGGGAATAGTCAGTTGCACCAGAAACAGTTTACCTTACAGTTAGGGAAGAAGCTACTGTAACTCAGTTAAGTTGGATCATGCATTCATATCACAGAAATTTAATGCTTTTAAAAGCACAAGCAAGTACAGTCCCATAACTGCTTTCAAAATGGATATAGCAGAGATATCTACACTTACATTTTCACTAATTTTGATACAATAATTATTCACATATATGTATACACACACATCTATATATCTTAATGTAAATCAGACACTTTAAAGGCAAAAATACACTAGGTTAACAAGGAGAGAAATATAGTATTCTCACTCACTTGTCCCACATAGACCAAACCGTGAAAAGAGTCAACAGCAACACAAAACGTTTGACCAGTGAAATATTCTGGAATTTTAGGCCAGCCTATGTCTAGCTTGTACATCTGTTGCTGTCCCTTCCAGGGAGAGGGGTAATCAAATGCTTTTAAAACCTGAAAATACAAAAATAAATATCCGTTAGTAGTTAAATCCCACAATGGTGGGATGAGAAGAATCAGCAGTAGAAGGTAACTGTGTACTGAAGCATCATAAATTGATTTATTCAATTTAAATTAAGACGACAGATAAACAGAAATAGGCTTGCAGCTTAGGGTTTTGGACTGCAAATGGGAAAATTTCAACAAACTGGAAATTAGCTAATGAAGTCTTTTGGATTGGGGAGCTCTAGAATTAGAAGGCAAAAAACACACCTGAAATTTCTTACATTGAAGTTGCTATTACTATCTGTAAATCACACTCCAAAAATGAGGGAAATCATACAGAAGGTTCCAAATGCAACAGAATCAATAACCACTTCAAGAAGATATGAAAATAAGAAAAAGAAAAAATAATCAGAATAAAGAGAAAATACAGATCAGGAAAGAAAACTACATCTTAGAAACGGAGAAGTGCAAGATACCATTAAGGGCAAAATTCAGGTCAATGTATAGATTTTAAAGAACAATGGAAAAAAATAATCTTCCCCCTTTTTGTTATATTTTTCCTGCAGAAGAACGGAAGCTAAGCACAGCTGTGCTGTGGCAAGTACTGGGAAGAGATCTACGCACTGAAAGGGAAAGATCAGGCTAGAACCATCAAGTAACAAGTGGTGACCCCGAAGGACCAGGGCCATTTACCATTTCTGTTAATTGCCTTGCCAGGAGAAGGGGTCAGGGGATGACACAACGACGAACAGCTTAAGAAACACCAGACTACCGTGAAGGAAAACCAAGAGTAATTAAACTGGGACAAAATCCGACAGTAAGAAGTAGATTCAGCCACAGATTATGGAGTATTTTCCTCGTTTAAGCAGAACATATTGCTTGGAAACCCCTGAAAAAGAATCACCCAGCGCACGCATTTATCC